CCAGATGTCCCTACCTGCCAGACCTCCCACCCAATTCTCCAACATAACTTACCATCTCCTCTGACCCTGTCACCTTTCAGGATAGGCCAATGGGACCACATCCAGCTCAGTATCCCACCATCCAGTAACCCCACTTTCCCTGCAGCCAATAAGCCCATCCAGCCCAGTATCCCACCCTCTGTGTCCATTGGGCCTAGTATCCTCTTCCATCAGCTCTGACCAATGGCCCTGCTGGTCCTTCATCCCACTTGTTCTCCCAGGGCCAATCAGACGAAGGAGTCAGCCATTGCCCTCACTTATCCCAGATGGTGACTAATGCCCCACCACACACGTACCTTACTCTGTTATTCAGGGGCTTCCCTGACCCTGTCACTAGCAATGTGTCATGTCCTGCAGCCCATAAGGCTCAGTGCCCCTCAGGATCATATCCCAGCAGGTGCCACGGGGAAGGAGATTATCATGCCAGATGGGCACAGGTGACAGTGAGCCATTCTCAGCTGAGATCCTGCACGGAGATGCTTAGCCCAGGCATTGGCTCTAGTTCCAGTAAGTCTTGTAGCCACCAAGAATGTAGGGTTGCCAGGGGGTGGAAGCCTAGTTGTCTCTGTTTCCTGGTCGGGGTATGAAAACCCTTGTCCACACATAAGACAGTTCAGGGAAGTCCCAAAACAGCAACATGTAGCTTCAGACACAGGTGGCACTGAGGAAGGGAAAAACCAGCTCCCCCCACTGCCTCCGTCTACTTTTCTGTGACACAATCTCCTCACCCCATCTGTCTGTCTGTGACACCAGCGCCCCACCTGTCCCCCTGCCTCTGATACCACCTTCTCTACTGCCTGTCTGCCACGTGCTTTTACGCATGCCTCAACTTAATGCACATTTGCCTAATACAGATTAAGGCAATTTAGGCACGCATCTACACATGCAAGCGCGAAGGCGCATTAACGCGGTGTGCAGACCAATTTGGGACTTAAGTTAGTCCCAAGCCAGTCAACATACACAGCATTAATGTGCCTTAGCATATCTACGTGCGCATTAAGGTGCTTTAGCTATTCGCACATAAATTTGTTACCTGCTTTTGCAGGTATCAAATTTAGGCACGAATAGTCTAAAATCACCATTTTTAAGGCACATTAAGGGTGCACGTGTAGCCCCATTCCCTTAATGCACCATAAACACCTTAAATCGGCACATGTAGATGCACCCTCTATTTATGATGGAAGTTCCCCCTGTCTGTGATGCTAGACCCCCCTCTCTGCATCTCTCTGTGTCCACGTTCACCTTGCCCACTGCTGTCAGTGGCGATGGTATTGGTGGTGCCAGTGCTGGAGCTGACCAACTGCCAGCATCCCAGTCACCACCAGCATCACTGCCAGTGCTGCACATGGTGGCTGCAGGCAACACAAGGCCTAGAATGGTAGTGAGAAGTGCTGAGCCATCAGGACTGGTGCTCTTCCCACCAGCAAGGTGGCATCAGAGCAGTGCTGGAGATGTGCTGGTAAAGGCTTGTGAAGAAACAGCCCAGCAGTGCCTCCCCACTACATCCAGAGGTTATAGTGTCTCTTCACTTAGGAGAGGAGGAAGGTGTGTGTGCAAGGGGCAGGGTGGGCAGTGGGTGGTATGTACACACAGGGTCAGTGTAGGCATGCACTTCCCTGCATGTGTGCATGCTTGTATGCACAGCCGTGAAGAGGCATGATACAATGTTTTGTTTACTTCCTGGTTTCCAGCACAGCCCTCTAGAGACCTTGATGAATGACAGTCAACCCCAGGGTAAGCAGGCACTGCTCCATCAGAGTCAGATTGGTAAATATAAGCTGGCTTGGTTGCAGCAGCAGATCAGCAAAATCTTGTAGAGTCTATGATAAATACTGCTGGGCCTGTGATAAATACTGCAGGTCCTATGGAAAAAGGGGCTAGCATCTCTTACAAACAAACCCAGCCAAGGGGAGAATAAAGTTGCTTCACATGGTGCAATCGAAATAGGCTCTTGGTACCCAGGCCACTGTAAGGGCTTGTTCTGTGGGTAGCCAAGCCCCTTAGGTTTGAAGCAAGACCCCTCCCAATCCCTCAAACTCCTCCTCAGATTGCTACCTGTGTAACATCTCGGCTTGCAGCCCAGCCCAGCAGGGACCAAACCCTGTGGAAGCTGACCTAGGCCTGCCTCCAGGCAGTCTGCATGGTTTCTACTGCTGACTCAGTTTTGTAGGGA